CCCTACACCCAGTTACTGCAGCTGCCTTCTTACTTCCTGACCAAACAACCTTATCTATCCCAGACATTGGGGGAAAAGAGAGCGTGAGGAGTAAGTCCTTCAGTCAAGCCAGACAGCCACGGTTTTCTCCATTCCTCTCCCTGCTGGCATCTTTAGGCCTTAGGAAAAAGCCATCTCCCCTCCCCCTAGTGAGGCCGGATATTTGTTAGCAGGGTTAAAAAGATACAGTTTGGAGGTAACCATCCCCTCCTTAGGAAGATAAGGAGGCATAATGTAGTAGTATGTTTGCCAGCAGGGTTAAAAAGATACAATTATTGGGGGACATCTACATCAACTGGCACAACACAGTTCTTAAAGACAATGTTCTACATCCTACTTTGGTGAGTAGCATCTGGGGTCTTAAAAGCTTTCGAGTTGCCATCTAAGATACAGCTATCAGTCTCTTCTAGTCCAGAGCAAAGGAGAGGGGGAAAAAAACTAATGACTCAAGGGAGCAATTAGTCCAAAGGACTAAAGGATCACATGAACCATGGCCTACAGGACCTCAAGACCAGAAGAATTAGATGGTGCCTGGCTACCACTACCGACCACTCTGACTGGGATTACAACAGAGGGTCCCGGACAAAGCAGGAGAAAAATGTAGAACAAATGATCAAATTCACACACACAAAAAAAAAGACTTACTGGTCTGACAGAGACTAGAAGAACCCCTGAGACTACAGCTCCCGGACACCTTTCTAACTCAGACATGAAGCCACTCCCGAAGTTCACCTTTCAGTCAAAGATTGGCAGGCCTATAAGAAAAAACAAACAATAATACACGTGAGGAACGTGCTTTTAGATCAAGCAAATATATGATCAAACTGGCAACACCTGCCCAGGAACAAAGATGGGAGGGGACAGGAAAACTGGAAGAACGGAAAGGGTGAACCCGGGGTAGAAATGGAAAGGGGGGAGTGTTGACACAACATGGAATTGTGGTCAATGCCATGAAACAATCTGCGTATAAATTTTTGAATGACAAACTAATTTGCTCTGTAAACTTTCACCTAAATCACAATTAAAAAAAAAAAAGAAAGAAAATGTCTGGAGGAAACTGTGGGGGTAGGGGAGATACAATTAGTCTCTTCGGTTGGGGGTATAAAATAGCTGAGAGAGGAAGTTTTCTGAGTCTCCTCAGCTATGGTGCAGGTGGGGCACACATAGCATAAGTTTTCAGTCCACCTCAGTGGACCTACCTGGCCAGGGGGAGACCAACAGTAGGTAGGGTCCCATTTAAGCCCCTCACCCATGACACAAAGTGAGGTGCACAAGGAATAGTTGTCATCTCTACCCAGATGGCCTTTGAGGGGGGATAGCTAGTGATGGAACTTTCCCTGTCATAAGCTGTCTGATTCTTGTCAGTGATAAAAGCTACTGTCCATGTGCTAACGTGTGTTCAAGGAGCCCTCGTGGCACCTTGGGGAAGCGCTCAGCTGCTAACCGAAATGTTGGCATTTCAAACCCACCAGCCACTCCACAGGAGAAAGATGTAGCAATCTGCTTCCATAAAGATTACAGCCTTGGAAACCCTATGGGGCAGTTTTACTCTGTCCTAAAGGATCACTAAGAGTCAGAATTAACTCGACTGCAGCGGGTAACCTGTGTTCAGGCTATGATGGGAAGGATGTGATGCTTATAGAGCAATCCACACTACTTATTGGTGCCCTTTTTCTAATGGCCCACTGGCTATCTAGAAATCAGGTACAACCTGTGAGCACCACGCAGGTTTGGAGTCTTGTCTCACAGTGATGGTTGAGCAGGACTTGTTGTCCTACAGAGGGCAAAGGAAGGGGACAATTAGTCCTGCTCAATCGTATCTCCCAAAGCTTTGTATCTTTAACCTTTGACATCTTTATCCATCATTGTGCAGCTCCATGCTGAGGAGGGGCCTAGGGTGACTGGCTGCAGTAAGCCCATCAGTCAGGACTGACCTGTCATGTCACCACCCAGTGAGAGGGACCTAGTGGGAAATCACCTGGCGGAAGTCAGTACTGAGTGCTTAATACCTGCCACTGTCCTATGCAGCGAGCTGGGCCCAAAGCCAAATTATGAATTGTAGAGGGCAGAGGCTGAAGGCTGCCCCTTCCTTCCTCTCCCAAGGAAATGGAGAAGGCACACCTCTCATGACTCCGCCCCCTCCCCAAAGGCAGGGAGAACTGTCTAGCTACTCTGCAGCCTGGCTTCTGCCCAGTTCCGTTCAGAGAAACTCACCGGGATTCTGCTCTGGGCTCTTTCCTGCCCACTCCAGATCTCCACATCCTGGCTCAGAATATGAGCTTTGAGTCAGATAGACTTGAGCTTACCTGCTTCCACCATCTACTACCTATGTGACCTTGGGCAGGGTACTTAAAACTTTGAGCCACAGTTTGCTTGTCTGTAAAATGGGCCCAATACCCACCTTCCTTCCTAGGGTGGTTATGAGACTGAGCTGAGATAGAGCATGTCAAGTGCTGAGTGCAGGGCCTGGCTCAGAGTCAGTGTTTTTATTGATATCATTGTCCCAGCCAAGGGCGGATTATCCAACAGGCGGGTAAGCATGGTGCTTACCTTGCTTACCAGATCATCTAGAGTGAAATGATATTCATACAGAGTAGTAAGTAAGCACAAGTAAGCCCAGGCTTACCTTGCTTACTGGGTCACCCATTCCTGTCAGGGATTGTAAATTTGAAAAGAGGCTTTGATTCTGTAGGAAGGTGCTGTGAGGTTGGGAGAGAGACAGATGCCAGCCATACCTAGAAGCAGAGCCTTTGATGTGGTGAAAATGTGAAATTGTTCACTACAGATGCTCCCCGGGGATGCTAAAAGAGCACTGGCCTTGTAAGAGGACGGAGGAGGTTGTATTTGCCGGCACTTACCTGGCCCTGGAGGAGCAGTGTTCTCAGCTGGAGGGCCCACTTTGACAAGCTGCTTGGGGATGGGGAGTAGGCCCTCACCAAAGGATGTGCTCAGTATAAGAACTGCTTCATAAACCGCCTTCCAAGGAGGATGCTGAGTCCCCTGCAGGTCGTTTGTTTGTGGAGAGGACTCTGCAAGTTTGGAGCAGAGCCAGCCATCTCCTCCTCTACCCTGTGTGCCCTCCTCCCCTGCCCCAATGCTGGGCTCAGCCTCCCCTCCTCCACCCTGCACCTCCCAACCCTCACTCCCCCACCCCCCACCTTGTGCAGGGCTCAGCTTCCTCTCCAAACAAATGTTGAACAAACGCTTATAAATAATACCTGCATGACTAGTACCAGTTGCTGTGGAGTCAATTCTGACTCTACTCCCTCCTGTATCAGAGTAGAACTGTGCTCCTTAGGGCTTTGAATGGCTGGTTTTTTAGAAGTAGATCTCCAGGCCTTTCTTCCGCAGCACTCTGGGTGGATTCATACCTCCAGTCATTCAGTTAGCAACTGAGCACATTAACCGTTTGCACCACCCAGGGACTTCACTAGTGTGATGGTAGTCTGAATTATTAACACGCCAGCGTACCACGCCTCTCAGCCTGGCCAGCTGCCTCCCCAGAAACCTCTCCTACCAGAGGGATAGCCAGATTCCACCATGGGGGAGAAAACCCAGGACAGGCAGGGGGCCAGGTAGAGGGCTGGGAAGTGATGTTTTCAAGGTCTCACCCTTTGACCATCTTTTCTGAATGTTTCACCATCTTGAATGCTACCCAAAGTGTGGTCCTCCCATCTGCAGACTGCTTGCTGCAGGTCCAAGGTGAGGTAAGTACAGAAATGGAGAAGAAGCATTTAGATACTTTATTGCAGTTTGACAGAGTAATTTGATGTAAATTTAAACTAGTAACAATTTTTAAATTGGCTTGTATTTTGTATACCTCTTTTTCATTTCATTTTTCTATTAATTCTTTTCTATTACATTTTACAAAAGAATCAGTCCATGATTAATTAGAAATTAAAAAGAAAAAAATTGGCCCTTTGCCACAGAGAGTTGGAGAAGCTCTGCTCCAGATGTCTTTCCATCTTGATCTTGGCAACCATAATGTCAACATATTACTTCCAAAGGTGCCATTTGGGCAATACTCTAGAGATAGTAAAAAGATGGTAGCCAAGGGTTTAGGAGAAGAAGGGGAGTGATGACTATATGGAACTCGGGATTTTTTGGACAGTGAAACTATTCTGCATGATCCTGTCATGATAGACACATGACTTTATGCATTTGTTAAAATCCATAGGACTATACAACACAAATTGTGAACCTTAATGGAGCCCTGCTGGTGCAATGGTTAAGCGCTCTTCTGCTAACTGAAAAGTCGGTGGTTTGAACCCACCAGCTGCTCCAAGGATGAAAAGACCTGGTGACCTGCTCCTGCAAAGATTTCAGCCTCGGAAACCTTATGAGGCAGTTTCATTCTATCCTACAGGGTCGCTATGAGTCAAAATTGACTTCACAGCCCACAACAACAACAACAATGTAAACTATGGACTTCAGTTAATGTATCAATGTTGGTTCATCAATTAAACGTACCACAGGAATGCAAGATGTTAATAATGGGGGAAACAGTATGTAGAGGGGAAGGGACATATGGAAACTCTGTACTTTCTGCGCAATTTTTCTGTAAATCTAAAACAGCTCTAAAAAATAGTTCATTAAAAAAAAAGGTATTTGAATAAAAGTTGGGCAACTTAAAAAAAAAAAAAAGGTGCCACTTGGGGAGACAGTACTGGGAGTGGGGCAAAACACTCCCATCCCAGGCTCCAACAATTCCCTAACTCGGGTCCACTCTCCCATCTTACCAGCCCAGCTCAGAACTGTCCTCCACCAAGCCCTCCCTGTCATCCCAGGTCATAGCTTTTGCTCCTTCCCCGGAAGCCATGAATATCTGTCCCCACTACTCACTCAGCAATCTATCTAATTTTAAAAATTAATAATCGAGAGCCAGGCTTTATGTTATGAAATCGAATACAAGCTTCCTAGAGTTGGTCCCTGTTTTGTGGCCTTGTGTGGCACTTTTTCAGCCTCCATTGCTACGACTGCTTGTCTGCGGAATCCTTCACTACCAGCTCCGAGGATCCCAGGCGACAAGCCCACTGTCCACACTTCGAAGCAGCTCCCACCCTGCAGGCCCAGGTACTGCCAAGGGCACATGCAGAGCAAACATCTAGCAGTGGGACAGCCAGGCCAAGGCGGGGCAGTGACAGCAGGTGGGGAAAGGGAGGAGAAAGGAAACTCCTCTCTGTATTTTTCCATTTTTATTTCTAAGCACCAGGACCTTTTCTTTTTGTTTGAAACGCAGTAATTCAGTCATACACGCACAAGATTGTTGTTGTTAGTTGCCTTTGAGTCAGCTCTGGCGACCTTACATGTAGCAGAACGAAATGTTGCCTGGTCCTTCAACATCTTCATGATTGTTGGTATGTTTGAGCCCATTGTTGTGGCTATTGTGTAAACCCATCTCACTGAGGGTTTCCCACAGCAGAGGAGGAAGGGCTAAAATAAATAGGTATCACCATGGAGCTTGTAATTATGGAAATAAAATGCACAGACATGAACTGACTTGAGAGCAATTACTGAGTCAACCATGCCCAACAACAAACCAGCATCTCTTGGTTATCTCCTGGCAAGTTGCAAAGGGTTTCTCATCCGGAATTTGTTTTTAGATACCCTCATTACTTCCTTTGCCATATTCCCTTAGTTAGAAGCAAGCCACAAGTCCTGCCCACACTCAAGGGGAGGGAATTGCCCAAGGCTGGGAGCACCAGGAAGAAGTCAACGGCAGCCACCTAGCATCTACCTGTCACAGACCCCAAGGATTGGCAAGGCTCAGGATCCACCAGCCTTTAAGTCCTTCTTGCTAGTTAACAGATTGGTTGGTTTGTTAGTTGAAGAAAGAGGAAAATTGGGGGACAATCCAGGTAGAGAGAACAACATAAACAAAGGCTTAAAGACAACATGACCTGGGAAGGAACTGCCAGTAGTTCTAGATGAAGGAGTGTGCAGGGGATTGTTGGAAATAAAGCCTGGGAGCTAGGCAGAGAGACCACGTATGATATGGAAGGGCCTCATGTGCTAAGCAAAGCAGTTAGGACTTCACCTTGAAAATTATGGGTAGCCACAGGATTTTAGAAGGAAGACTATTTGATCAGATTTTCAGTTTTGAAAAATTACTTTGGCAGTGGTTTGGAGGGTCACTTGGAAAGTGATGTATTAATTATTTATGGCTGCATAACAAATTACCCCAAAACGTAGTCACTTAAAACAACAAACACACATCATCTCACACAGTTTCTAAGGATCAGGAATCTGGGAACAGTTTAGTTGGGTGGTTCTGGTTCTGCATCTCTCATAAGCTTGCAGTCAAGCTGTCTAAAGGCTTGACTGAGGCTGAAAGATCTGCTTCCAAATGGCTCACTCTCATGGTTGTTGGCAGGAGGCGTCAGTTCCTTACCACCTGGCCTCTCCAGGGGGCTGCACACAACTTCAGACTGTGCGATCCAAGAGAGAACAAGGGAGCGGCAGTGCCTTTTATGTCCTAATCACACACTGTAATGGGCTGAATAATGGCCCCAAAGCTATCAGGTCCTGATTCCTAGAACTTGTTCATATTACTTTACTTGGAAAAAGGTCTTTGCAGATGTGATTAAGTTAAGGATCTTGAGACAGGGAGATTATCCTGGATTTTCTGGGTAGGCCCTAAATGCAATCACAAGTGTCCTTATAAGAGAGAGGTAGAGGGAGATTGATACAGACAGAAGAGGAGAAGGCAATGTGACCATACAGGTAGAGATCGAATGATGTGGCCTCAACCAACCATAGATGATTGGTTAGACTATGGGCACAGAAGTGTCATATGACCTCCTCAAGTTGCAAAGCAGGAGAGACTATCTTTTTTTTTTTTTTAATTGTACTTTAGATGAAGGTTTGCGAACAAACTAGCTTCTCATTGAACAGTTGCTATACGTATCATTTTATGACATTGGTTACCAACCCCACAACATGTCAACGCTCTCCCTTCTTGAACTTGGGTTCCCTATTACCAGCTTTCCAGTCCCCTCCTGGCTTCTAGTCCTTGCCGCTGGGCTGGTGTGCCCCTTTAATCTCATTTTGTTTTATGGGCCTGTCTAAGCTTTGGATGAAAGGTGAACCTCGGGAGTGACTTCATTACTGAGCTAAAAGGGTGTCTGGGGGCCTTGCTCTCAGGATTTCTCTAGTCTCTGTCAGGTCAGTAAGTCTGGTCTTTTTTGTGAGTTAGAATTTTGTTCTACATTTTTCTCCAGCTCTGTCCGGGACCCTCTATTGTGATCCCTGTCAGAGCAGTCACTGGTGGTAGCCGGGCACCATCTAGTTGTACTGGACTCAGTCTGGTGGAGGCTGTGGTAGTTGTGGTCCATTAGTCCTTTGGACTAATCTTTCCCTTCTATCTTTAGTTTTCTTCATTCTCCCTTGCTCCCAAAAGGGGTGAGACCAGTGGAGTATCTTAGATGGCCGCTCACAGGCTTTTAAGACCCCAGATGCTACTCACCAAAGTAGAATGTAGAACATTTTCTTTATAAACTATGTTACGCTAATTGAGCTAGACGTTCCCTGAGACCATGGGCCCCACAGCCCTCAGTGCAGCAATTTGGTCCCTCAGGGAGTTTTGATGTGGAGAGACTATCTTTTGTGTGTTTAAATCTGGACACGTTGCTGCCTCAGATAAAATGATGATGGTGTTATGATAAAGAAGAGAGGGAGAATGGGTATTGGGTAGGCAACTAGCAGTTACTTCAAAAGCTTTCTCCAAAGTTCTTTTATGGAGAAGCAGCATTGGAGCAAGACTTGGGGAGTCCAACCCCACCACTTCCTAACCTGTCTGACTTTAGGAGATATTCTTAAGCTCTTTGAGTTCCTGTTTGCTCATCTCTTTAATCAGGATAAATGCACTTTTCTCAAGGGTTTCTAGGGTGATTAGAGACCTTTAAGCAAAGTGTCTTAATATTTTAGACACTCAACAAATGTTAATTCTTCTCTTACTTTCTGTAATTGCTCATCGTGTGACATGTTTCTTGTTCTTTCCTCCTGGGCTTGCTCCCAGGATCTGCTCAAGTGTTTCTTTTAAGATGTAACCCCAAGATGGAACACAAAACTCTATCGTGTCTCCCTAGCATGGAGGACAATGGGACTGTTTACCTCCCGTGCTCTGGGTGCTGTTCTTCCTTCTCCCACTGCCTTGATAGCCATCTTAGTGGACTGCGGAAGGTATGAGGAACTCTGCACTCACTCCTCCTCCCCTTAGGGCTCTTGGCCCATCCTGAACAGGTAGAAGCAGCCAAGAAGGGATTTGCACACTGGGTCAGCTTTATTAATGGCAGAGCCAAATGCAGAATTGGCAGTGGAGAGGGAAGAGTGGAGGGTGGAGAGGGGAAAGCACTCTCAAGATAGTTTTGGTTCCGACTTACTGTGACCCTATAGCAGATACTTGTTATTTTTGGTGATGGGAAAGGGAGCACTGAATGTGGGTGAAGTGTACACAGTTTGACCAAGGTAAATGATGTCACTAAGAAGTGTGCAAGAGAAAAGGACTTTTTGATAAAGGATATAACAAATATAATTTTGCAAGAATACCAATAACAACCAAAAAATATGTGAGTGGTTACACAAATATGTATATAAGCATATGTGTATGGGTATGACTACATGGGTACATATGTGTTGGGAAACCCTGGTGGCATAGTGGTTAAGAGCTCGGCTGCTAACCAAAAGGTTGGCAGTTTGAATCCACCAGGCAGTCTTTGGAAACCCTATGAGGCAGTTCCACTGTGTCCTATAGGGTCGCTATGAGTGGGAATTGACTCGATGGTAATGGGTTTGCTTTCGGTTTATGTGTGCAGAGATAGATGTATCTATAGGCAGATGTGGAGGCCTGGTGGCACAGGGATTAAGAGCCTGGCTGCTAACCAAAAGCTCTGCAGTTCGAACCCACCAGCTGCTCCTTGGAAATCCTATGGGGCAGTTCTACTCTGTCCTATAGGGTCGCTGTAAGTCGGAATTGACACGACAGCAACAAGTTTTGGTATAGGCATGTGTACATACAGGTATGTGCATGTATGTATATCCATATATATAATAAAGCACACAGGGGACACAGATACAGAAACTTCTTAGGCATAACCAAACACCTTGTGAGATTGGTTTTCTGGGTTTGAAGGCTTAGGACCATAGTCTTGTGGAACAACTCAGTTAATTGGCATAAAGTAGTTCATAAAGTGTATGTGCTACATCCCAATGTGGTAAGTAGCATCTGGGGTCTTAAAAGCTTGCAAGCAGCCACCAAAGATAAATCTATTGGTCTCTACTCATCTGGAACAAAAGAGAAAGAAGGAAACTAAAGACTCTGAGAAGAAAGTAGTCTACAGGACTAATAGTCTACACAAATCACAGCCTCTTCTACCCTGAGACCCGGAACTAGGTGGTGACCAGCTACTACTACCAACCGTTCTGATCAATTCCAGATGGATTCTGATAGAATGGGAGAAAAATATGGAACAGAATTCAAATTCTTAAAAAGTTCAGACTTACTGGACTGGTTGAGACTATAAGACTCCCCAGGACTGATACTATGAGATACTCTTTAAACCTTAAACTAAAATTATCTCTTGAGGTCACCCTTTAGCTAAATAACAGATTGGCTCATAAAATAAAGAATATCACTGGGGCAGGGTGGGAGGGGAAGGAATCGGCAAGGCCTCCAATCTTCCTTCTCGAAACTAGACCCTGCACCACCTTGATATATTACCAATCTCGGCCTGAGAAACTGGAACCCAGGGAGCAAAGACTTGATTGGACCTGCCAGCAGAAGGCCTGCTTAATCTGCTTAACCTAAAATAAAAAAAAGAAAAGAAAACAAACCTCACTGCCATCAACTCACAGCAACTCTAAAGGACAGAGTAGAACTGCCCCATAGGGTTTCCAAGGCCATAAATCTTCACAGAAGCAGACTGTCACATCTTTCTCCTGCAGAGTGGCTGGTGGGTTCTAATTGCTGACCTTTCAGTTAGCAGTCAAACTCTTAATCACCGTGCTGCCAGGGCTCCTACCTAGGTTGAAAGGCTCTCAAAATACACACAGTGCCTGCAACAATGAATTCCAGC